TGAAGAGTAAAGCTTCCTGCACATCTAGAAGGCAACAAAATGCTCCCTTGCAGACATTTTGTGCTTCCCATCTTTCATCTTCTTGGTGATACCTCCCTAAACCACTGGACAGACTTGGGGTACCTCATCTGCTTCATCTCCCCTTGCACTCTCCTGCAGTGTGACCGTGATCCTGCTGGGCTATGACAGCTCATGTCCACCACTGTCTCTTGCACTAGCCTCTAAGCTCCTTAAGAGCAGGGACCTCAGCTTCTCTCGTCTGTATTCTTGGCATCCAGCCCAGGGTCTGGCCAGGTACTCAATAACATCTGGGGGAAGAACGAATGAATTTGGACCACCAGAGAAGTAGTAGAGACTGCTGGTTAAGAGCTCAGTCACTCAGGTTTGAATCCCAGCGCTGTTACATATTTCTAGTGGGAGCCTCAATTTCCTCATCAGAAAAATGGGGATTAATTTTACCCTCAGAGAATTAATGTGAGGGCTGAATAAGATGGTATAAATAAAGGCCTGAGCTCTTATCACAGATAATCAGGTAGGGAAAGAAAGGTGAACACAGACTTTGTTTAGCAGTAGCCAGGTAACTCCTGAAAACTTGGAAAACGTAACTACAATTTGGTTAGGGGGCTAAGATAGCACCATGAGGGCACATGCCAAAGAGGAGCACAGGCTTGGAGCCCCAGGGGCCAAGGGCCTGCAGTGCAGCCACGAGGGGCCACAGGAGGCAGCAGAAGAAATCGAAACCACAGATCTATTGGAAAAGTTCAAAGGGGAGGCCCTCTCTCTATTTGTTTCTCCTTCCAGCTGTCACACTGCTGTCAGGAACTGAGGCGCTCCATTAGACTCCGAATCTCTTTCGCTGTCTGCATGTAAGGCTGCAGTCCATCTGCCTCCCCTAGCTCTCACCTCAGCAGTGCTGCCCACAGGATCCCGCCCACACACTCTGCCAAGACTAATTCATGTTCCTCAGATACTCCCACTGCAAGTTTTCTTTTTCACAGAATGAGTGGCTGAAATCACTTTAAGATTTCACAAAGCAAACAATCTTAGGAAGGCTGGGTAGGGGACAAGAGGAGAAAAATCAAATACAACACAGAACAGCCTTAATAAAGCATTTTTATATTTCAGGGTTCCCTGTAATTTTCACATCAGGTGTTGTCTTTAAAATTTTGAAGTTAAGTGAATGGAATGGGGGCTCCTCCACAGCCGTGCTCCCAAGCAGACTACAGCCATACACCACAGAGGCAGCCCTCGGAGCTGCAAAACCAGACGCGGATAGGAAGCTCTAAAGATAAGTGTGGTGGGCACAGCTCACTGGCCATCCCAGCAGCCACTGTCCATTCTTTTCGCCCATCCACCTCGACTACTGAAGCTAAAAAGCCTAAGCCTGCTTTCCTAGTTTCCCTTGAAGCTGGGGGTACATGACACAACTGGAGCTAATCAGACATCAGTGGAATTCTGCTGGGGGTTTCTGGAAAACATCTTGCTTTCCAGATAAAAGGAACAGTCACTCGTACTTCCCCTTTTGCTTCTTTCTGCCTTGGATGAAGATGTGATGTCTGGAGCTGTAGCAGCCATATTGCAACCATAAGATGACAGGCAGGAAGGAAGGGCCAATAGAACCACTGATATGCCAATTCAGAGCCCTTTCCCTGTTCAGTCTCAGTAACTAGAACTAGTTAAGTGGGAAAAGTAACTTCCTATTTGTTTAGGCCACCATAACCTGGGTTTTCAGATATTCACAGCTGAAAGCATTACTAATTGATACAACATCTCCCCTATCTATAGAGCAGGACCACTTCACTAATTCAAGACTATTTCTATCATACCAGGTTTCAAAGCAGATGTTGTTTAGGCCACCATAACCTGGGTTTTCAGATATTCACAGCTGAAAGCATTACTAATTGATTCAACATCTCCCCTATCTATAGAGCAGGACCACTTCACTAATTCAAGACTATTTCTATCATACCAGGTTTCAAAGCAGATGTCCTATCTTATTTGATCTATGAAGTTTTGGACCTAATTTTCCAAGCACCTATTATCTTTACATCTCTACTCAAATGTCCCATGGCCACTGCAAACTCAAAAGGGTCAGGACTATGTCTCTTCCAGGACTTCCTATCCCAGTAAGTGGCCTAACCATCCACTTACTGTTCAAGCCAGGTCTTCCTTGATGCCACCATCTCCTACATACCCTCACCCAATATATCACCAAGTGCTACAATTTCACCTCCTGAATGTTTTTCTAACTACATACCTCTCCCTACTACTCCTACCTAAGTCTAAGTTTTGCATGCCAGGACCATTGCAATAGCCTTCTAACTGGTCTCTCTGCATCCACACTTGCCTTTTCCACAGTGATCTTATAAAAATACAAATCTGACCATGTCACTCCCTTCCTTAGAAACCTTTAATGGTTTCCTATGGTCCCCATGGTAAAATCCAAATTCCTTAAGACCTAAAAGGCAATGCCTGATTTAACCCCTAAGCACCTCTCCAGCCCTGTCTTGAGTCTCAGTTAAGCTACAGTATCCCTCTCTCAGTTAAGTTATAGTGTCCTTCTTTCAGCTTCTTAAACCCATCACATACACTTCTGTTTTAGGGCCACCACACATGCTGTTTCCTACATGGAGGGAAGGGAACTTCCCTCCAGTTTTATGGTCTACTTAACCCTTTCTTAACTCTCTGCAGCCAAAATAGTAAATTTCTCATTCCAGATATTGTACTTTTCTGTTCTAAATTTCTAGTTGGTTCATTTTTTAAAAATAGTTTCTACTGTCTCCTGAGATTCCCTATCTGTTCACTCATCGTGGCCATCTTTTCTTTTAAGTCCCAGGCCATTTACATAATAGATGCCTTTGGCTTTATCTACTAATTCCAATATCTGCATCACCTCACAGTCCATTTCTATTGGGCTGCTTTCCTCCCACATTGATTATGGGTCACAATTTTCTGCTTTTTGCAACTCTAGTAATTTTTTATTATAGGTTAGACATTGCAGGTGAAACTTTGTAGGGAGTCTGGATTATGCTGTCCCCTTTAAGGATGTTTAATTTTGTTCTAGAAGTTCCTTTTGAGCCTCTTGGGGTTGCTATTATTTTTCATCTGGATGAGTTTATTCTGATTTTGTCCCCAGTCCCAAGGTATCATCCATACTTCTAATGCATGGCATTTTTGGAGTCTCAGCTGCAGACTCTTGGCTGGGCTACAACGCCACAGTCTCCTAGTACTGCACAGCCCCCTGGTATTTCTGTTCTGCTTTCAGCCCCATAGCAATTGTTCTCTGTGAAGCTTCATGGAGTCTTCCTCTCCCTCTTCTCCTGATTTTCAAAGCAAACCAAGTGCTGACCTCCAAAGACAGTTTTTTCAATAAATCTGCACAGGAGTTCAGCAAGAACCAGGCAAGTCACCATGGTAACTAACCATTTCCACTGAACAGTTGAAAATTCACAGCTGACAATTTAAAGACTAATGCCTCTCAGTTAGGTTATTACATTTCCAACTAAAGGCAGAGGTCAAAACAAAAGAGCTAATTAGGTGGCTTTTCCAACAATGCCTATTACAGAATCATCTAGCAGGTTCATGAGGTGACCTGGCATCCCTCCCAGTAACACAATGGACCCCAACTGTCACCAGATAGGGGCTCCCTCTGCTTAGGAGAGCACAGAAAGCAACATCCTCAGCTTTGCTCTTCTCATTCAATCTCCAATATTCCTCTGCTTAAAAGGAGCAAGGCACTGTGTTAACAAGTTCTAATGAGCACTTTTCCAAATCCATATGCTATTCTCTGCTGAATTCTGAATAAATTATAATGGGAAAAGAGCCTCATTTAAGACATGTCTTTTGAGTGAGAAAACTGGAGGTCATATTTCCATATGGCATTGCTATTGTGAGTTGGTATACTGCAGTTCTAATTCAGCAAAGTGATCAGAGATTATTTAGAAATTTGTGCTTTCTTTGCATATAAGTACTGCAATACCGAATCTGACTCAAAATCTATTTCAGTCCCATACCCTATCTCTGATAGAGCAACCCAAGGGCTACTGTGGAAGGGTACAACTATCCTTCTTATGGTGACTACCATAGGCAAAGAACTACCATGACATACCGTGAGCAGCCCTTCATGCTGCCTTTACTTTTTCAGACTCTGGTTATGTTCAGTTTCATGCATAGATAAGAATACAGAGATCATCAAATTGCCATGTGAACTGTCCCTAATTTGCTCTTATCATTTGTCTCTGGAGTTTCAGGGAGTAACTCCTCAATTCCAGTATCCTGAAACTTGGTAAGTTCAAAGGACACCTTGCACAGAGTGGTTCCATGTATATATAGAACCGATTATCATTTTGCCCAGGTTATTGGTGACTTAATAGGCAAGCCCCTGCTTCTAATAGTTGGCTTTGCCCTGAATCCCTGAACATGCGAAGTGCCAGAAGGCACCTTAAAGATCACTTGGTCCAACCTCTTTATTTTACTGACAAGGAAAATAAGGCCCAGGAACCACTTTACACTGTTAATCAGGGACACAGCAGAGTTAGAATCCAGAGCTTTGGTTCCTGGCTGAGTTCATTTTCACTCGGGCCTTACTTCATGGAGATCGACCACCTATTCATTTCTTTCAGATGATCTTTTCTGAACTCTCAAAAATTTCATCCTATCTTTCTGGAGGTCTTATTAGAACTACACAGATGAACGCACTTTTCTCTCTCTTTTTTTAAGCTTTATTGCTGCTATCTTGGATGTTTGTTGACCTCTCTGGCAGTGAGTTGAAAGGTCAGCAAACAAATGCTTATAATGACCTCCAGGTGTCATTCCTGACTTACAACTGAGAGATCCAAACTAATCACTCTCTGAGAGAGTGCCACTGAGGCTCATCTCCTTCCTGTCTGCATATGCATGGCTCTAAGAGCCCTTCCTATTGGTCAACCCCAGTAGTGAGGCTCTCCAATACCCTACCAACACGTAGGGCATTACTGGGGAGCCTCCTGGCTGACACTCACCTTTGCGTAGGCTGTTGTCTTAATAAACCACTGCCTGAGGTACTTCTGTTCCACCTTTGCTCCAGAACGCCAAGAACAGCCGTGTTCATCCACCTGCTCATTGGCAAGCACTGTTTGATCCACTGGGTCCCAGTTAACCAAGGCCTGTTATAATTCATAAAACAAAATGATGCAATCTGGTGAGTACCTTGATAGGATTATTTTGAGGCTTCTTACGTGTGAAAAGGTCTGTAAATGCAATAGCTCTTCTCTGAGACTTGAGGACATCTCCTTCGAGTACTGCTTGGCCAAGAAACTACTAGTAAGCTGTAAAAAGCACATGGGAACTGCCTCTGTGCTTTCATTTCATTAGAATATGCTTGGGAAAGAACCCTTTACACAAGTGTCTAACTCAACTTTGGTATCTTCTTGTATGAAAGGATGAACCAGCAGAATTGTAAATTTTAGTAAACAGAGGAAAAGAAGAAAAAAATGGTACCTACCTAGAATTTAGCAGAATGGGATTATTTTAGGGGAAACAAATGTGTTTATTTTAATAACATTGCTAACATTTATTGAGTGATTAACATGTGCTAGTTGCTAAGCTAAGTGGCTTATTAAGGTTAGCTCTTTGAATCCTTACAACCACCTTTTGAGATAAGTATATTATTATTCTCATACTGCAGATAAGGAATTTGAGAAACAGAGAAATTAGATAACTTACCTAAGTTCACTTAGTGACAGAGTCAGAGTAGGAACTCAGCTCTAGAAATGAAATTTACTTGCAATTTTAAAAAATTAAAATTAAATTAAAGTTAACATACATAGAGTAATTTTTTTTCTTTTTGGGCAGTTGGCCAGTATGGGGATCTGAACACTTGACCTTCCTTGGTTACAAGGCTGCGCTCTAAGTAACTGAGCTAACCAGCCAGCCCTCAATGAATTTTTACGTAAGTATATACACATGTAACTACCACTCATATCAAGATAGAAAATTTCTAACATTCTAGAAAACTCTGTTGTACCTTCTACCAATCAACCTCTGCCCCCCACCTCCACCCCTAATGATAACTACTCTTCTGAGCTCTGTCTCCATAGAATAATTTGGCTGATTGAACACGTAGTCTTAACCATTATGAAGATTCTCTCCATAGAGCTCTAGCTAGTTTCTATTTTTATTTAAAACAAATACCTCTTCCATCTACTTCACTCTTTTATGACATTCAGGTACCACTTGGCACAAAGAAGGCAATGAGTACAGAGAAATGTGTTTGGGCACTAAAATATCCTGACTTGATGCACATTGTTTTCTAAAATTTTAATAAGCAATTCTAATAAGAGATTGTGCTAACTATTGTCCACTTGCCCCTCCAGACCCTCTTTCCATCTTGTTCTATGCCTTAGGAAGCTGACCTCTGTGGCCTGCACTGACTCGGGCCCTTGCTGGGCCATGGGCTGGCAGTGGCCACAGGCTCTACTGAAGGCCACGGCCTGTGATGGGCAGGCCTCTCCTGCTGCCATAGCTACTGCTCTCCTAGGTCCCGGAAACTGCTCCTGACACTGCCCCTTCAGCGCAGGGTGGGTGGCAACGGCTTCTTCCTTCTGTTGCTAGGGCCAGGTGCTTCACTACCATTCTCAGCTTCCCTGAACACTGCACAAATAGTCCCTTTGTTACATTTTCTTCAATGACTCCTTTTGGGTGTGCCCTCTTTTTCCTGCTGGGACACTGACTGATCCAGAGACATATCTAAAAATTATATAAAAAGTAGGGGTGGGGAAGAGGCTAACTCATCTGTGGGCTGGTGATTGTGGGTTATGATTTTACAGCTAAAAGCTGTCCATCCACTGAAAAATTTAAGCCTGTAAAGTCTAGAGTTGGGGTGGGAAAGACATGCATTGAATAATTTTTTCCTCTAAAATAGGGCACCCCAAAGCCTTGAGTTTATACATATACAGAGTCAAAATATAGAACAAAAGTACCTTAGACCTAAAAACTTTAGGTTAATAAAACAAAAGTAATTTACTTATGTATTGTCACTGCCTGTGTTAGGGGCTGGGATGAAGGAGACCACTTACAATAACAAGTAAAAAGAAAGGGCCAAGTATTACTTAATAATTTAGACAATTCATTTAAGAGGCAATCCCCTCCACTGCCCCCCCTAAAAACAAAACCAAAAACCCATCCCATGCACAACTAAAACTGTATAAAATATAAAAGGGAGAAAAAAAAGTTCTATATACCTCTACCTCTGCCTCCTGCCCCCTGCAAACCTCAGAGGTTATGGGAGAAGCAAATACTTGGTATTGTGGATTGCAAAAACAAATAGGACTTTATTTTCTTATCAACATTTCCCACACAGCTTGGCATCTCTCAGGCTCTAGGTTACAAAATGCAATGAGGAAGATGTGCTCCAAAGAGGTTTATAAGTTATAATAAAAACCGGATTTGAATGAAAGGCAAACAAAAGCAATTATTTTCCCCAATGAAAGACTTGGGAGAAAAGGAAAGAGCATCTCAATCAAAGATGCATCAGCTGTGAGAATCCACATCTGGGGCCGGCCCGGTGGCGCACTCGGTAGGTAGAGTGCCACCGCGCTCCCGCCGAGGGTTCGGATCCCATATAGAGACCGGTCCGCTCACTGGTTGAGCGCAGTGTGGGCGCGACACTGAGGGTTGCAATCCCGTTACTGGTCACGAAAAAAAGACAAAAAGGGGGAAAAAAAGAATCCACATCTGTGTTTCTTCCCAGGCCCACAATCCACCTCAACTGCAGCACTGCAGATTCAGGCTAGTCACAAGTGGTCAGACTAAGGGTGGTCAAAATTCAGGGCTCCAGATTCAGGGAGCACAGCATGTGCAGCCTCTTGAAGCACTGGAGTAGTTTCCCAAATCCTTTTTTTCAGGTCTCCTCTCTTACATAACTGTCTCTGTCATACCGCTTCCCTTGAAACCAAGGTCCTCCCTTATCCAGCATTCCTGAATTTTCACATTTTGAACATTTTCTTTGACGGACACCCTGATTTTTAAGCAAGTGCAGTCTTGCAGAATAGGATATAATTTCTAGACAACTTCACTGACTATCTATATTCATTTCCCTACTTGACATTTATGTTGTCTATCACCCACTGAAGTCAACTTCACGATCCTTTGAGGTTAACTAGACTTATGTGTAAAACAGTCTATATGTATATTATGAAATCAATCTTAAATCAATACCAAAATCATTAAAACATATGCAAACACACGGAACCCCAATTTTACCCACTGCTTCCTTCACAACAGTTAGTTATCTGGCAACATTCCAGAATGAATCATTCCAAAGAACAGAATTTCCTGTTTATCAAGGGTTAATCACTAGGACTAACATTTTTTGTTTGAGTGATTTCAGTGTGGGAAGCTTTTTGAAGGCATTTTAGAAATGCACACCATAATACAATTACGCACGCAAAGAAGCCACGTTCATAAGAGGTCAAGTCAGCACAGTGATGGTGGCTGTCACATCATTTTTGTCTCCTCCTTCTACCTTTCTTTGCTGTTAGGCTCTTGGAGATGTGGGTGACTCTGAGCTCCTTGGGGACTCTTCAGGCAGTATCATCCTGATTTTGCATTGATCAGCTCTCCTCTCTGCAACACCGCAGTTGTGGCGTCTGCTGCCCCAGCCAGGCTTCCTGTTCCAAATCCTCACCGTCTCTCATCTCTTCATTACCTCTCCTCCTCTTCCCCTCAGGTCACCTTGCCCTTTTTCCCTGGGCCTCACTTTCACACAAGGTGCCAGTCTCTTCTAGATCACATCCTCCATCAGCACATTTTGGTCTCTTGGCCAACACATCAGTCCCCTGGCCCTTAAGGGGCTACTCTCCATGGCTTTCCTTGCTTCCTTCTCCTCAAGCTCTGCTTTTTATTACCAAAGACGTTTTCTGAGTATAGTGAGGCAGCTTCAGGTTCCAAAAGGCTGGTAAAGTATATATTTTAGGGGATTGATTTTCTCAAGATCTATTAGCTTTTTTCTGGACAAAAGCATGCTTAACTAAAGAATGCCACATAGATCTCATTAAAGGATGTAGCCCTCAAAATCAATTGTGCTCCATTCTATCCAGAATGGGCCTGAATTTGGACCGAGTTGGTGGTGGGGGTGAGAGTCCCAAGGCTACCTTTTTTTTTTTTCCTTTTTGTCTTTTTTTCGTGTCCGGCAACGGATCGCAACCCTCAGTGTCGCACCCGTACCGGACCGGGACCGGCAACAGGATCGCAACCCTTGGTGTTGCACCTGCACCTCGCTCAGCCAGTGAGCGGCCAGTCTGTATGTGGGATCTGAACCCTCGACGGGAGTGCCGCCGCACTCCCAAGCGGCACACTGTAGCAGTGCGCCACCGGGCCGGCCCGCAAGGCTACCTTTTATTTGTTACTGCCACCACACTCCAAAGCCACAAGGTGGTGTGGTGGAAGAGGTGCCTGTTTGTCTGTGCGCAGTGATTCTTTCAGTATGGTTTCTGAAGCAGAGGCCACACTGCAAACCTAGCTTAGGGGGGTGAATTAGCATTATCATCAGCTGCTACTTAAATAATAGAGACAGCCAAAGACAAACTCATAAATTAGGTGACTCTCCACAGTTCCCTGGAATGTCTAAGCATAATACTGCATCATCATCCTCTCTAATAACTACATCCATGGAATAAAACTTTTTTTTTTTAAACAGAGAGGTAAAATTAATGTTCTGCCAGCCAAGTAGAGGTTTTTATAATCATATTTATAGCTGAAAATATTTTTGTTTTGAGAGAGTGAGAGCAGATTCCATTTTGCAATGGAACTGAACATTTCGTGGACAGTGTTTGTTAAGAACAAAAGACTTAAACACTCCAGTTATGTTTAGTAATCCTCTGCTCAAATATGTTCCCTAAATGTTCATTTACACAGCTGTAGGCAGACCTGAATTTAAGGGTTAAGGCTGTCTTTTATTAAAAAAATAGAAAGTTATAATAATGCTGTTAGAGAAAACGTACTAAAACCTAAGTTATTTTTGGTTAAATAGGCTTTACAAAGGCCTACAAAAAAATAGGCTTTTACATATACTATGAGCAGACTGTCTAAAGTCAATTAACTTTCTAAAGTTAATTTCAAAAGCTTATATTTTAAAATAAACCATAGACATAGAATGCTAACTGAC